ATTTGGATGCAGGCCTTGCCAGAACTACAACTGGCAATAAAGTTTTTGGAGCTCTGAAGGGTGCTGTGGATGGAGGCTTGTCTATCCCTCACAGTACCAAACGATTCCCTGGTTATGATTCTGAAAGCAAGGAGTTCAATGCAGAAGTACATCAGAAGCACATCATGGGTCAGAACGTTGCTGATTATATGCGTTACCTAATGGAAGAAGATGAAGATGCTTACAAGAAACAGTTCTCTCAGTACATAAAGAACAATGTAACTCCAGACATGATGGAGGAGATGTATAAGAAAGCTCATGCTGCTATACAAGAGAATCCAGTCTATGAAAAGAAGCCGAGAAGAGAAGTTAAAAAGAAGAGGTGGAACCATCCCAAAATGTCCCTTGCCCAGAAGAAAGATAGGGTAGCTCAAAAGGCAAGCTTCCTCAGAGCTCAGGAGTGGGCTGCTGAGAGTTAACCCAAATTTTCTATGAAGATTTTTCAGATGACAACCAATAAACTTATTCATCAAGCCAGAAAAAAAAAAAAGAAAATAGTTCTACTTTTTATTTTAAAATAACATGGAAAGGTGGAAAGGGCTGGGAATTTAGCTCAGTGGCACTGTGCCTGCTTGGCAAGCGCAAGGTCCTGAGTTCTATCCCTGGTACCGGAAAAAAAATTAGAAGTAAAACATAAAAAACATCATGGGCTGGGCAGGCAGTTTAGTGGTACAGTGTTTGCCTAGCATGCATGAGGCCCTGCGTTCCATGCCCAGTACCACATACACACAAAAAAGGTAACAGATGCTGACAGGAGAATAAAATGATACTGTATTATGGTTTAAGTAGACAGATTAGTGTGGTGGCACACACCTGTAATCCCAGCCTCTAGGAGGCTGAGGCAGGAGGATTACAAATTGAGCCCAGCATGGACAACAGAGCAACTAGCCAAGACTGTTTCAAATAAACAAAAGAATTTAAAAGGCTGGGGATGTAGCTCAGTGCAAAGGCCCTGGGTTCAATGCTTAGTACTGAAAAATAAAATTCCCTAAAGACTCATATATTGAAAGTTTGATCCCAAACGCAGCAATGTTCAGAGGTGGGGCCTTGAGGGTGACAGGACACACTTGTTTGTCCACTCACGCGTTCATAAATCCATGAGTGTTTAGGAGGTGGGGCCTAGTTGGAGGAAGTGGTTACTGGGGGGCATGTCTTTGAAAGGTATATCTTTTACCTGGCCCCCTTCATGTCTGTCTGTGTCTGTTTGCTACCTGCCTGTCTCTCTCTCTCTTTCCTGGCTTCCCTGAGGTGAGCAGCATTTCTCTGGTCCTCCCTTCCACCATACAAGCCTAAAAGCAATGAAGTCAGCTGAGCATGGACTGAGCCTATAAAATCATAAGACAAAGTAAACGTTTTCTTCTTTAAATTGACTTTCTTAGGTATTTTGTTACAGTGACAGAAAGCTGACTAACACATACTTTATAGGCATTTTAATAACTAATACTTTGGTTTTTTCTTTCTTTATTTTTTTTTTTGGTACCAGGGATCGAACTCTGGACCTTGCACTTGCAAGGCAGGCAGCAGAACCACTGAGCTAAATCCCCAGCATTTTGTTTTTTCTTGACAGTGCTTGGGCTCAAAACCAGGGACTCATGCATGCTAAGCAAGTGCTCTTCCAATAAGCTCTATCCCTAGCCCAAAGTAATACTTTCTTTGGCTGCTTTGTTTTGTTTATTGAGACAAGGTCTCGCTAAACTGGTAAGGCTGGCCTTGAACTCATGATCCTCCCACCTTAGTCTCCTGAATAGCTGGTGCTACAGATGAGTGCCACCCTACTTGACCAAGTAACAATTCTTCACCCAATAATATATCTGTAAGAATACATCTTTGGATGCATATGATGGACAAGGGTGCTTGCTGAAGTGTCACAGATGTAAAATATCATAAACCACCTAAAATAGGAGTGTATCAATGAAATTCATATACAATGAGCTATGTATATTAAAGAGGTCAAAATGATGCTTTGGGCTAACTTTTAATAAGATGAAGAAAAGTTCACGACATATTATACAGGGAAAGCTGTAACTATATCCACAATAGGGTTATACAGAGGCACACTCCACCCATAGTTCCTTGCTTTTAGACATACTAGTTTTCATATTTTATTGTTTCTAAAATTAGGCTATTCTAAAAATTCTTGACAGTTTTTTGTTGTTGTTGTTGTTTTGAGGCAGGGTCTGTATAATCCAGGCTGGTCTTGAACTCCCTATATATTACTTCTTGCCTTTTGGCTAAGATAAAGTGAATTCACTATGTGGCCCAGGCTGGTCTCAAACTCATGGTGATCCTCCTGCCTCAGCCTCCCAGGTGCTGGTATTACTGGTGTGCCCCACCAGTAAATGTTTTTGTTTGTTTCCTTATAAAATGTTTTTGTTTGTTTGCTTATTTTTCCAATGCTCAGGATCAAGTCCAGGGCCTCACACCTGCTATGTAAGTTCTACCACTGAGTTACATCCTCTGGCTACAAAGCCTGTTATTAAATCAATAGGATATTGTACTATAGACAGCATTTTGAAATAGAAGTCATAGTGTATTATATGTCCAGAAAAAAGACTGGAAGGATAAAAAAGAGTATGTTAACAGTGGTTATATGCAATGATAGGATTCTGAATAAGATAGAAGTTAAGAGTTGCTCAAAGTTAAATGTTTGCCAAATTAGCTATACAATTTTTAGCTGGGTGTGGTGGTGCACACCTATAATCCCAGCACTTGGGAGGCTGAGGCATGAGGATCACCATGCATTCAAGGACAGCCTGTGTTATGCAGTGAGTTCAAGGTCAGCCTGAACTGGACCTCACCTCAGAAAAGAAAAAACAACTTTTCTGTACATTTCAATTTTTTTATACATTTCAATAATAAGCATATATGACTTTTAAAGTTAGAAATAAGCAACAAAAATCATTCTTTTAAGTAGAAGTAATAACAGTGTGTAGTTTCTTACATTAAGACATTTGTAACTCGAGTTGATAACACTCTGGAGTTAGGTTTCAGGGTAACACGCTGCAGATCAGAGACAGTAACCAGTGGATTTCGTGCCTTCGGTGATGTTATAAGCTTTAATCATAAAATGAGACATTATTAAAAACATTTTAAAATATCATTCAAAATTTAAATATGCTGAAACAGTAAATATCTGATTTTTAATCCAAAGCTTCAAAGTATGTCTCTATCTCTTCAGACTAATGGTTGGTAGATAAAATTGCCTATTTCAATAATTTTGGACACATGAGTGAATAAGGAAAATGTATTTATACACAATGGAATACTACACTATCATAAAGCAAGATAAACAGGTACAACTTGAGAATGTGTTAAGTGAATTAAGCCAGACCCATAAACTTAAATATCCCATTGTTTCTGTTATATATGAAATATATACATATACACAAATAACTGAGGTTTTTTTTTTTTTTTTTCTTTTGGTACCAGGGATCGAACTCAGGACCTTGTGATTGCGAGGCAGGCGGAGGAACCACTGAGCTAAATCCCTGGCCCCTACATATATACAAATAAAGAGGAAAATAGAAGAGAGATAAATAGGAAGTAGGGAGACATTCAAACACTTCCCCAAATTACATATTCCATTGTTTCAAAAATATTTTCATATATATGCTATTATGTTTCCTTTATGCTACTAGTTTACCTTAGTTCACTGAAAAGAAAGTTTTGTTATTTTCTGTTTGTTTCTTCTTTGTAAGAATCTTTTTGGTTTGTTTCTTGTACTCTGAGTAACAACTTTGATGATGATTCATAGTGTATTAACTATTGTCATTCTCTTAGGAAATTTTATTTTTTTCATAAAAAAAGAATGAATTTGGGCATCTATATATTTTGTTGAAGAGATTCAAAACTACTAAAATGAAACATCAAATATTGAATTTGGGTTGACTTCCATACATAAATTATATGCTTATTTTCCATAAAGGAACAACTATATTAAAAGCAGGAAGACCATGCAAATGGTTAATGACATTTTACCTTCCACTTTTCATCAGTACACTGTGTCTTCCTTAATTTCACAGTCAATAGGTCTTTAACTGTTATCTGCATGGGTCCATCTTTTCTTAAAGGTTTAGCCTTAAAATACACAGAGAAATCAGAATTTAAATTAGAACCTGGACATCTGGTGAAGTATAAATCCAAGTGTAACTTTTTTTTTTTTTTTTTGGTACTGGGGATCAAACTTGGGTCCTTGTGCTTGCGGGGCAGGCAGCGGAACCACTGAGCTAAATCCCTGGCCCCCAAGTATAACTTATAAATATTCAAAGTTAAAAGTTAACCCTTATTTACAGTGACAGCCAACCAAAATCCGCTCAAGCAAGAATGATTCTGTTTTCAGTACCCAAAGATACTGAAAAGTATTCATCAAAATGGAAGACCTCGCTAGTAAATAAGAGATGGACTAGTTCCCTGCAAGAATGTAACTTCTATGCTGGGTGTGGTGGTGCATGTCTGTAATCCCAACACTGGAGGCTGAGGCAGGAGGATTGCTGTGAGTTTGAGGCCAGCCTGGGCTACATAATGAGACCTTGTCTCAAAACAACCAAAAAAAAAAGCATCCTCCACAGGAGTCGAAAGAGTTATTCAGATTTGGGCTGGGGATTTAGCTCAGTGGTGCCGTACCTGCCTTTCAAATACAAGGTCCTCAGTTCAATCCCTGGTACCAAAAAAATTGAATAAATTTTAAAAATAGTTACTCAGATCTATGTGAAATCTTCCCTTAATTACTTAGAAAGATGATTTGGTTACCATAGAGCAAGTAAGTATAGTCAAAGAGGCACACATTACAGCAAATGTAACAAAAGACTCTGGATTCTTTTTGGTTTTGGGACTTGAACCCACGGCTTCATGCATACTGGGTGGCAAATGCTCTATCATTGAGCTATATTCCCAACATGGACACTGCCCCCTTCCCTGCTTCTTTTACATTTTGAGACAGGATTTCAGTGACTTGCCCACATAGGCAAAGAATTTGAAATCCTCCTCCCTTAATCTCCCAAATAGCTGAGATTACAGGCACACACCAACATGCTAATTTAGCTATTTTAAACCAATTGTACACTACTATATTCAGATTTTATTGTTGGGTTTGTTTTTTTTTTTTGGTACCGGGGATTGAACTCAGGTCCTTGCACTTGCACAGCAGGCGGCCAAACCACTGAGCTAAATCCCCGGCACTATATTCAGATTTTAAAAGACTCATGCCTATTTTAGCGATTCACAAATATTCTAATCTCCTTGACAGAAGTAATGGTAACAAATACTGGTTCTCCAGCCCAATGATGTTAAGACATTAGAATCCACTAACTCTTTTTGTTCTGGCTTCACGAAGTAATTTTTTTTTTCTTAACTTGGTTTCTTAGGGATGTCTTTCTTTTGGTAAAAACATATGCTGAAGGGGCCAGGGATTTAGCTCAGTGGCACCATGCCAGCCTCACAAGGACAAGGTCTTGAGTTTGATCCCCGGTACCAAAAAAAAAAAGATATGCTGAATAGTCAATAGGAATCTTCTAAATTATAGGGTTTCATTCCTTTATGTGTGGTGGCAGCTGCCTGCAGTCTCAGCTATGTGGGCAGCTGAGGCAGGACAGTTATTTTAGCCCAGCAGTTCAACACCAGCCTGGGAAATTCAGTGAAACTGCATCTCCAAATAAACACAATAATTGATGAAATGAGGATAAGGAATCTGAACAAAATACGGCCTTCCTCTCCAAGCCTTCAGCAAAGCTGTAAAAGGCCACTTCACCTTTTCTCCTATATCACACTTACCGAAGGCCACCATTACTCATCATTTCCTACCTGAAGTGCTTTATTGAGACCGCCTTTTCTGAGCAGCAGAGGAGCCGGTGGTGGTGGAAGAGGAGGAGGTGGAGGAGGTGGAGGAGGTGGAGGAGGTGGCGGCGGGGGAGGAAGGAGACTGGTTGGTGGTGGCAGTGTGGGCGGAAGTATGGCTTGGGAGTCTCCAGGGCTGGTTAGAGCATAGGCGGATACATTTGTAACTTTATCACTCCTGTGATGCTGTTGACCACAGTTTGAACAAGACTTTTCTGTGATGGTCTGGAAGAAAACATTATATTTGGCAAATGAATAAGGTGTTAATTTGGTTCTCATACCTGACAGTCATCAATATAAAAGGTACCATGCATTGAATGCAGTGTTACGTGCTTCATAGTATTTTCTCATTTAGTATATGTGCTGCCAAAGTGTGCACAATATTTTCTCATTTAATTATCACAACTTTTGCCATTTCATTCATTCATTTGTACATGAGCCTGGCTATGACTTTGAAAATAGAAGTTAAACATGCATAAACATTAAAATCCAGGGCTGGGGATTTAGCTCAGTGGCACTGTGGCTGCCTTGAAAGCACAAGGTCCTGAGTTCGATCTCTGATACCAAAAACCAAAACAAAACATAGAATCCAAACAAAATAACGCTTTTGTAAGAGCAATGAAGTGTCCTCTGAACACAAACAGCTCTTGAGTCTTGGGGAGTGACAATCAAAAGAATGAACTTGGTGGCACTTGTCTGTAATCTTAGCACTCTGGAAGGCTGAACCAGGAGGATCTAAAGTTTGAGCCCAGCATGGCCACTTAGTGAGACCCTATCTCAAAATTTAAAAAGAGGGCCGGGGATTTAGCTCAGTGGTTTTGCTGCCTGCTGTGCAAGCGCAAGGTCCCAAGTTCAATCCCCGGTACCAAAAAAAAAAAAAAAATTAGAAAGAAAGAAAAGAGAAAAGGGCCAGGGATACAGCTCAGTTGCAAAGGCCCCTGGGTTCAATGCCCAGTAGCACAAAAAGGAAAAAAGAAAAAAAAAAAAACATCGAAACTTACAGAGGGAAATGAGGACTAGAGAAAGAGTTCCTTCCAGAGGGAAAAATACTTAATTAACCAAGAATGTATACATTTGAGGTACTGTTAAAAAGCCCAACAGGCTGGAACATGACCATTTGGAACTGACTTATGCTCCCAAATTCAAATATATTTTTTTCTTTTCTTTATTTTGTTAGTACCGGGGATCAAACTCAGGACCTTGCACTTGCAAGGCAGGTATGGCGCCACTGAGCTAAATCCCCAGCTCCTCTCTTTTTTTTTTTTTTGGTACCGGGGATCAAACTCGGGACCTTGTGCCTGCGAGGCAGGCAGCGGAAACACTGAGCTACATCCCTGGCCCTTTTGTTTGTTTTTTTGAGACAGGGTCTTGCTATATATTCTAGGCTGGACTTGAACTCACTGTGTAGCCCAGGCTGGACTTGATCCTCCTGCCTCAGCCTCATGAGTGCTGGGATTACAGAGGTACACCACCATGCCCAGCCTGAATTCATATTTTGATATTTTAACATCTAGCATTTCAAAATGGGACTATACTTGCATATAAGGCCTTCAAAGAAGTGATTAGTTAAAATGAGACTATTAGGGTAGACACCAATCCAATTTAAGTGGTGTTCTTGTCAGAGGAAATGATATAATTCTCACAAGAGGAAAGCTCATATGGGAACACAGGAAATGGTGGCAGCCATCTGGAAGCCAAGTATTGAGGCTTTTCAGTAGAAACCAACCTTGGTGACACCTTGATTTCAGACTTCTGCCTGCAAACTGTGAAAGAATAAATTTCTGTTGAATAAGCCATCTAGTCTGTGGTGTTCATTACGGCAGCCACAGGAAACAAATACAATACCCTAGGAAATAAGGTGGTGTATTAATCTTCAGTGACCACTCTAATAAGTTATCAGGAACTAGGTTGTTTAAAATAATTACAACTTATTTTTTCACAGTGCTTCAGATTGGAAATCTGAAATCAAGGTGCTACCAAAGCTGTGGTCCCTGTCAAGGCGCTAGAGAAAATGGATTCCTTGCCTCTTGCAGCTTCTGCTAGTTGTCAGCATTCCTTGGTTTGTAACTGATCACTCTGATTTCTTGTCTCGGTGCTCACAGTGCACCTCCTCTTCTTTGTGTATATTCTCTTCTGTGTGTCTCTTTTCCAAGAACACTTGTCATTAGATTTAGGGCCCACCCAGATAAACCAAGAAGATCTCATCTCAAAATTCTTAATTACATTATAAAGATGCTTTTCCCTCAATAAGGTAATTTTTACAGGTTTGTGTAATTGCGATTTGAACATACTGCTTTGGAGGCCAACATCCAGTTAGCACCCTATAGATGGAACCATGCTCATTTTATAGACCAGAAAATTAAGGCCCAGAAGAGAGAAATGATCTGCTTTTTCCTCATGTGGCTAGCTTATTTTGAGGTACAAGTTCTGGGAGAAGTGAAATCCCAGAAGCTTCTTTCCAGATCAATAAGCACAATACTGAGTCATTGAGAATAGAGGGTTAAACAGGGCTTGGTTGTACAAACCTGTAATCCCAGCATTTGAGAGGCTGAGGCAGAAGGACTGCTATGAGTTCAAGGCCAACCTGAACTACATAGTGAGACTGTCTCAAAAAACCAAAAAGAGACCTTATCTAGGGGAGTTTGGAGTGCATATTTAGTTTTTCTCCTTCACATATCCATGAGGAAAATTGATACCACTTTGTATATTTAAAAGTGGAGGCTGGGAACCGGGTATAGAGGCACATGCCTGTAATCCCAGCACTTGGGAGGCTGAGGCAGGAGGATGACTGCAAGTTCAAGGCCAGCCTGGGCTACACAGTGAATTAGAGGCCAGTCTGGACTATATAGCGAGACCCTATCTTAAACTCTCGGCAACCTTCCTGCCTTAGCCTCCCAAGTGCTAGGATAACAGACATGCGCCACCATGCCCAGCTTAGGGAGACCCTTTTTTTTTTGGTACCAGGGATCGAACTCGGGACCTTGCACTTTAGAGGCAGGCACTGGAACCACTGAGCTAAATCCCCGGCCCTTATTTTATTTTATTTTATTTTATTTTAAAGTCAAGAATTAATTTTATTTATTTTAAAATAAACATTGAGGATTCCCCATTACCTACCACCCTACAGAACTTTTGAATGTGGAATGTTCAACAGCCTATCCATTTTAGTAGGTTACAAAACCAGCAAAAACTCCAGTTGTCTAATGATGAATAATTTTGATTTTTTTTTTTTTAAGTAGGTGAGTACCTACTGGACAATTTCCTTAGCTAAAGGCTAAAAGTAAAATTTTAATTTCACACAGAAAATACCATTAACTTAGTAGCCGTTGCTTAATAGATGGGCCTATTTTATTTTATTTTATTTTATTATTATTATTTTTGGTACCAGGGATCGAATTTGGGTCCTTGCGCTTGCGCAGCAGGTGGCGAAACCACTGAGCTAAATCCCAGGCCCGCCGGCCCCTATTTTAGAAAATAAAATAAAATAAAACAAGAGGCTGGGGTAAAGCATTTGCCTTGGATTGTTGAAGCAATCCCCAGCACCATCAAAAAATAAAAAAAAATAAAAAAAAATAAAAAAAAGAATCTGTTTCAATCATTTCCTAGTTACCAGCAGCAAAATGCTCTGGAACAGAAGTTATACAATTTCAGGAATTCAAAATAACAACAAATTTACTTGTAGAACCAAAATCTCAATTGGTCAATGAATTTTATGGGGGTTTTTTGTCGGGTTTTTTTTTTTTGGTACCAGGGATCGAACTCGGGTCCTCGCGCTTGCAAGGCAGGCGACAGAACCACTGAGCTAAATCCCCAGCCCTGAACTTTATGTTTTAAAATTTTTTTTCTACATTGATTACTGAATAGGTATGATACACACAGGACACAAAACTCAAGTGACAAGAGTATACAGTGTAAAATCAAGTCCCCTCCCTTCCCTCACCCCAGCTACCCAACCACCTCTTCACAGTGGCAGAGTGTTACTAATTTCTTGTGTACTGGGGCAGAATAATGTTTGATTTGCTTCTCTACTTTTCTGGGACCCAAGAGGCTTCACCACATAGATCACATTTCAGGGTCCCCTGGTCACCTGGTTTGGAGCTGGAAACCGGAGTAGTGGATCTTGCAAGGGACATTTTTCTTCCTCACAGAGAGCCCTTTAAGGACTCCAAGTGCTGATAAATTTCCACTCCACTGAGGCCTGGTCAGGCCTAAAGTAGCAAAGAAACTCTGCTGTGAACAGCAAGCACCAGAAGAATACTACATGATCCTTTGTGTTTTCCTCTGTCCTATACATGCCTTTGGTTCAACTTCTTCAAATTATCCTAATTTGAGTGTGTTGTTTTCCCCTGGGCCATGAACAGATAGGGACCATTCCCAAAGGCAGGGCCTCCCACCCCTTATCCCTGATACTTGACTGAATCCAGGGCTTCAAGCAAGGTAGGCAAGTGCTCCGCCATTCAACTTCATCTCCAGCTGTTTTTAAAAATTTTATTTTGAGGTAAGTCTCAATAAACTGCCCAGGCTCACCTCCAACTTGTGATCCTTCCTGCCTCAGTCTTCCAAGCAGCTGGAATTACAGGCATGGGCCACCATACTCAGTTACCACCTTCTTTTTTAACAACTGTATAGTGTTCTACTGGATGAGTGATGTATAATTTATTTAATTAATCCCATATTGCTTTATAATTTTTTATAATTTCAAATCACAGAGCAATAAATAACTGTTTATATAGTTGGTTAGGTTAATATATATATATATATATTTATTTATTTTTTTGGTACCGGGGATTGAACTTGGAACCTTGTGCTTGCGAGGCAGGCAGCGGCACCACTGAGCTAAATCCCCGGCCCTGGTTAATATATTTTTTAAATTTTGGATAAGTATAAAGTTGCTATGAACACATAAAAAAAAATTTGGATAAGTATTACCTAACTATACCCGTAGAGGTTTTATCAGTTTATGCTCTTCTCCGTAATTTAAGAAAGGACCTGTTTCTCCAAAGCTTTCCATGTTTTTTGTTATTTTGTTTTGCTGTTCTGGTGGATTAAAAATGTTACTCATTAGAATTTAATGTCCATTACTGTTTTGGGTGGGTGGCAGAAACTGCTACTTCCCTCTCAATACACATTTTTGCTTTTCTCTATAGTAAAAAGACTGAATTGGTCTCTTTACACCTGATGTTTGAGATAATTATAGATCTTATGGCTGAGCATTTTCTCTATTGCAATAGTCTGTTCAGATAAAATCTTTTTTCATCTAATTATATATATATATATATATATATATTCCAACACCCCCCGCCCCGTACTGGGAATTGAACTCAGGACCTTGTGCTTGCCAGGCAGGCGTGGGTGTTTTTTTGTTTTTTTGTTTTGAGACAGGATCTTGCTATGTAGTTCAGGCTGGCTTTTGTTTGTTTGTTTTTGTTTTTGTTTTTTTTGGTACTGAGAATCAAACTCTAGTCCTTGGACTTGTGAGGAAGGAGATGGAACCACTGAGCTAAATCCCTGGCCCACAGGCTGGTTTTGAAGTCATTGTGTAACCCAGGTTGGCCTTGAGCTCACAGTGATCCTCTTGCCTCAGCTTCCAGAGTGCTGGGATTACAGGCATGCGCCACCACACCTGGCAGATTTATTTTTTATTTGAAAGTACCAACCTTCAGTGTTTTCTGGAGCTTGTATAATTCACTTTCCAAAATGCAAACTTGTTGTTTTAGACTATGAAGTTCTCGGTGGCAGCTTCGGGATGGAAAGATGGTATCTTTCAATACTTCTAAACTCTGAAATTCATAATAAACAAGTTTGAATTCTATTAGAAATATGGTAACGAGTGGGAAAAAATGGAACCAGAAAATGGTTTGACATATTTCTTATAGAACAAAAAGCACATAAGACCCCATAAATTCCTCTTATCTGAGCTTAGCCCAAGTGTTAACCTGAGCACATGTGAACAAACCCCAGGTCTGTCCAAAAACCATATTGGTGCAAACAGGTACACATACCTGCACTACACAGCTCTGGCACCAGTTGTACACTGACCACACTCTATTTGTCCAACATTTTATCACTTCTTTGACATTGGGAAATTTGAAGTTCCATGATGGTCTTAGCCAGTTTGTGCTATGAGGTATATCTGTTGAAGAAATAACTGTTCTGCAGGAAAAACAAAAATCAAAGAGTCAAAAAAAAAAAAAAATCAAAGAGTCAAAAAACCCTAAGAAATCGATTCTATTTACTTTTTTGTTTGTGTTTGTGTTGTTATTTTCGAGACAGGGTCTCACTATGTAGTTCAGGCTGGCTTTGAACTCACAATTTAGCCCAGGCTGTCCTCAAACTGGTGGCAATCCTCTTGCGTCAGCCTCCTGAGTGCTGGGATTACAAGCGCACGTCACCATGCCTGTCTTGATTCTATTTACTTTTATTTTAATTTTTAGCTTTTAGGGATTAAACCCAGGACATTGTGAATATTAATCATCTCTACCACTGAGCTACAACCCCAGCCCCAAGAAGCTGATTTTATAATGTTACTCAGGAGCAGGGACTTTTTTTTTTTTTTTGGTACCAGGGATGGAACTCGGTACCTTGTGCTTGCAAAGCAGGTAGTGGAACCACTAAGCTAAATCCCTGGGCCCCTCCGCTTTTTTTTGAGACAAGGTCCCTCTATGCAGTCCAGGCTGGCCTTGAACACACATCAATCGTCCTGCCTCAGCCTCCCAAGTGCTGGGATTACAGGCTTGTGCCACTATGACTGGCAGGAGCAGGGGCTTTCTAAAGCCAAACCTTTCATTAAATTCTAGAAATCAAAGATTCACCTGGGTGTGGTGGTTCACACCTCTAATTTCAGGACTTGGGAGGCTCAGGCAGGAGGATTGATGCATGCATGTTCAAGGCCAGCCTGGACTACATAGTGAGTTCAAGGCCCAGCCTGAACTGTATAGAGAGACCCTGTCTCAAAAAAAATTTTTTTATTAAATATTTACTATATTCTAGGCACCAAAGACTTATTAATGAGCAACATAGATAAAACCCCTGCACTCATGGAGTTTGTAACTTATGAGGAAGAAAATTAAAAATAAATAAATAACAAGTATAGTTTGTGCATATATGCTAGGGAGGAAGAAAAAAGCAGGGGAGTGTGCACAATGTTAGATGGAGTGAATGTTTAGGTAGAAAAGTCAAGGAGAGCATCACTGAGAAGGTGAGTTTTGAGAAGAACCATGAAAAACTAAGGAAGTTAGCAGTCAAGTATCTGAAAGTCTAGGTGTGATGGCCCACGTATGTAATCCCAGGAGTCTGGGAGGCTAAGGCAGGAGGATGGCAAGTTCAAGCCCAGCCTAGGCAACTTAGAGACTTAGGAGACCATGTCTCAAAATAGAAAATGTAAAAAGGGCTAAGAATATAGCTCAGCGCAGAGGCCCTGGGTTCAATCCCCAGTACCAAAAAAAAAAAAAAAAAGAAAAAAAGAAACAAACAAAAATGTCTGAGAAAGGAGTGATCCAGAGAAGATCAACAATAACTGCAAAGGCCCTGAGGTGGGAACTCACCAGAAGTGTTTGAGGAATAAAAAGGAGGCCAGGATGTCTAGGGAGAAAGACTGAAAGGAAAGTGATTAGCAAATAAGGTCAGAGTCAGATCCTAAAAGCCTGGTGGGTTATACTATGGACTTCAAGTTTTACTCTGAGAGAATAAGGCATTGGAGAGTTACTGCTTTTCTTTTTTCTTTCAACTCTCAGTGATCCTCCTGCCTCAGCCTCCTAAGTGCTGGGATTACAGCCGTTCACCACCACGCCTGACATGTTACTGCTTTTGGAGGGTCTTTTTGTTTTAAAAGCAATTTATAAAGAGAGCTATAAGGCTAGGAGTGTAGCTCAGGAGTGGAATGCGTAATGCACAAGGCCCTGGGTTCAATCCCCATCAATACCAACATAAATAAATAAATAAAATTTAAAAAGAGAGTGATATAACAACAAAGAGATAGATGTTATTATAAAAACCAACACTCTACCATTTGGATTCTCTTTCAATAGTGCATTGAACTTGTGAGTCCCAGAGAAAAATGACCAAACTTTAACAAATCTACGATTTAAATTCTATTCCTATGCCTCTCTTTCATCACTTAATTGCCAGACTTACACAATTAAATTTACCCGGAAAAGAGACCATTGTTAGGGTGCACTTGAACACAATTTCTTGTGATTCTCACTTCATTTGAATTTTTCTTTCATTTGGTGCTTCTGGGGATTGAACTGAGGGCCTTGAAGAGCTCTATCTCTGAGCTATGCCCCAGCATCCTCTCCTTTTTAAAAATATTTTTTGTGGGGCTGGAGGATTTAGCCCAGTGGTCCTGCTGCCTGCCTCAAAAGCGCAAGGTCCTGAGTTCGATCCCCGGTACCAAAAAAAAAAAAAATTTTCAAGACAGAGTCTTGTTAAGTTGCCCAGGTTGGGCTCAAATTTGCAGTCCTCTTGCCTGAGTGGGATTGTAGGTGGGTGTCATCCCATTTAACTTTCATATGAACTCTTAAATTATGGTTGCCATGTAAAGTACAGGATGTCCTGAAGAAATGTGTTTTTTTGTTGTTTTTTTTGTATGATATTAGGGATTGAACCTAGGACCTTACACATGCTATACAAATGTTCTACCACAGAGTATATCCCTGTCCCTTTCAAAATTTTGTTTTGAGACAGAGTCTCACTAAGCTGCCCAGGCTGGTTTCAAACTTGCAATTCTTTTGCCTTAGCCTCTCAGATAGTTGGGATTACAGGTGAGTACTTCGCCAAAAGATGAATAGTTTTAGTATAATTCAATGTTAAGTGGGACATATTTAAACTGAAGGTTATTTATTGTTTATGTGAAATTCAAATCTGACTCCATGTTCTATATTTTTATTTGCTAAATCTGGTAACTCTAAATTTGTCAAATCTCTCTAGTATTTTCTCTGTTCTTTATTTCTTACCTTTCTGAGGGTGGTGGAGGAGGAGGTGCAAGTAGCTTAGATTGGAATCGAGAGGCTTCTTTTTTTTTGACTAATCTCCTGGCTTTAGCTTTTAGCTTTCTTCTTCGTTGTTTGAACTTGGGCATGATTTCTGCGGAGAAACTTTTAAGAATATTTTTATTGAAAAAAAATATGTATATATAATAACACAAACCTTAAGTGTAGAAGGGGTGATCAATATATACAGGGAATGTTTAAATTTTTAAAAATTTATTACAGTGAAACACACATTGCCATTAATCCCCGCTACCCTTGCTTTGAACATACTTCTCCCATTGTTCTTGCCACTTTCCTTTTCTTTCTTTCTTTCTTCCTTTTTTTTTTTTTTTTAATTTTTTTTGGTTTTTTGACCCAAAGTCTTGCTATGTAGTTAAGGCTGGCCTTGACTCACTATGTAGCCCAGGCTGGCCTTGAACTCATGGCAATGCTCCTGCTTTAGCCTCCTGAGTGCTGGAATTACAGGTGTGCCCCACCACACCTAGCTTTCTTGCCACTTTCTGAAGCAGTTCTGGAAGTCCTCTTCTTGAATGCCTTTATGAGGTGTGATCAAAAATACAGTGAATGCTGCTGCCGAGGGCCATCAGACAGAAAGCCAGGCTTATGAAAATATTACAGTGTGCACCACCACGCCTAGTTTAAAAGGATGTATCTTTACCAGCAACATTTACTGAACATCCAGGTGAGTTAGTTATGGGAGGAGGAAACAACATTAGGTATTTATTCATTTATTTATTTACTTAAAAGTGGCAAGTTTATTCAAGAAAGCAAAAGTGAAGAGTGGGAGAGAAACTGGCTCTGCAGAGCGAGCTTGGACCAAGTGAATAGAAAAAGAGAGAGAGAGCAAAGATAAAAGTACATGCTGCGTCTGGGAAACACAGCTTGCGCTATCATGGAAAGTTATGATAACCATTAGCTATTTATTGAATGCCCTTAGGTACCTTCACATGTATTTTCTCAGTTAATCTTTACTATCCCAAAAAATATTATTCCTAATAAGGAGGATTTTATTCCCATTTTTACACAAGAATAAACTGAGGGTTAGAAAACTTAGATCATCTACCCAATGTAATGCAATACAGTACAGAGTCCAGACCTGTAAGTCTTCAAAGATCAGTTTGTTTTAATAGACTATGGTGTAAAGTATCTAAAACAGGCTCTACATAATAAAATAAGAATGACCCCAAGCCCAAGATATGAATATTTTAAAACATTATCGAGCATATTTATACTTTAATCCATATCCTTTTCTGAAGAAAATTAAGTCCAAGCTAGTTTGATCTCAAGCTCCAGAAGGACTTTGCTGGTTTTAGTTGTTGCTACCTGAGGAACAAAGATGTTATTCAAGTAGCAGAAATTAAAATGGTCTCAAGGCCTGGGCCTCTTTCCCTTCAAGCTTACATTTGAATAGGGACAATTGGCCTTGAAAACACACATTCATTCCACTTCTGTGCACTCCATAACCTTTTGGCACTTGGTATGCAGCTGTGCTCTTGCTCAGTTCTCCCATTTGACTGGCTGCAGAATCTCCTCCCACCCTGGACCTGCAGGGGCTCCCCTAATGGCAAAAGGACACAGAGCACATAGCTACAGTTCTCCCAGAGGGGTGGATTCTTGATAGCATCCTACTGGACTCATTGTTAGGTCCTGAATTAACAGGATATTTTTATAAATTGTTCTTAGAAGCTTGGGAGACATATATTACCCTTATTATATCACTTTTCCCCCATGCTAATGAGGGAAGGCTAAGCAGGTTATGAAAAAAAGTTAGTGGGTTGTTTGTTTGTTACTGGAGTTTGAATCCAGGGCTTTCACTCTGCGTTACATCCCCAGCCTTTTCTAAATTTTTTTTTTTTTTTTTAATTTTGAGACAGGGTAATGCTAAGTTGCTAAATTTCCCATAGTGGGTTTGGCCTTGCAATCCTCTTGACTCAGCCTCCCAAAGTGTTGGGATTACAGGTGTGCACAACTATGCCTGGCTTTTTTATTTATTTTAAAAAATTTTGTTTTATTTTATTTTTTGGTACCGGGGATTGAACTCAGGTCCTTGCGCTTACGCAGAAGGCGATGAAACCACTGAGCTAAATCCCCGGCCCCTAAAAATTTTATTATGAATTTTTTTTTTTTTTTGGTACTTAGGACCTCATGATTGCCAGGTAGGTACTGTGCTGCTCAGCTAAATCCCTAGCCTTTGGCTTTTTAAAAAAAACTTAAAATGAAATATTCTTTTTATTTTAACTGTTTCTTCCTGCAGTGCTAGGGATCAAACCCAGGGCCTTGAGAATGCTAGGTAAGAACAGTACCACTGAGATACATTACTACTCCTATAAAAACCATTCTGAATGTATTTACAAGAATCTCCAGGAAGTAGTAATCTTGTGGTTGCCTGGGAAAAAGAAAAGATTGAATCTCATCAGAGCCATGAGAACTTTTTCTGGAAACCTCTATTCAAGGTCTAGAGTCCACAGTTAGGATTCCCAGAATCGGAGACTTCCATGGCAACATTCATTTCCTTAGCTTTCATCTGTCCCTTCACTGTTTTCCTGTTTCTTTTCATTTTCTCTTTGATGTCTTTTGTTAGTGATCAAACTGATCCACAGACCCAGCCTCCTGTCCTTTTTTTCCTGTATCACCAACATTTAAATTATGAAAATAGACTTTAAAAGGGAGGTGAACTTTCTAATTAAACCTGGTAGATTGATTGTGACAAAGATTCTGTTTTTGACTACACTTCAATCAGGCTCCTGACCTCCTAAACCTATCTATCTATGTACTTCCTGGCAAAACTCAGTTTTAGCAATGAGTGCTGCCTGAACCACCTCCTAACCCTAATATCCTGTTGGGTTCCTCATCCTCCAGCATCTCCTAGTTGATGTCTGATCACTGTGACCTGTCTTTAGGAAAAGTCCTGTTTAGTCTGTGGAGGCAGAATCTCTCTTCCCTCTGGTGTTTCTTCTTAGTAATTTTCCATTAAGTTTCCGCTTGTCTATGATGTATCTCATTAGAGTGTTCTCTATAACTATTTCAATGGTCCTGAATAAAGTCTTCCTTATTATGCTTTAAAAAGTATAATCGAAGAATTTTTTCTTTAACAATTCTAGGGGCCAGGTGGATAGCTCAGTGGCAGAGTGTTTTCCTAGCATGTGCAAGGTGCTGGGTTCTATCCCTGGTACAAACAAACAATCCCTAAAGAATTCCTTAGCATGCTTCTCAAATCTGTTCACTACTTAGTTCATTTTTTTTTTTTTTTTTTTGTACCAGGGATTGAACTCGGGTCCTTGCATTTGCGCAGCAGGCGGCAAAAACGACTGAGCTAAATTTCCTGGCCCCCACTACTTAGTTCTAATGGCCCCTTTGCAGCATTTCTTCTAGTGATCAGAAGTTTGTACTCCAAGTATTCCAAACACTTTCTACAATGTTATCAACCTTTCCTCCTATTTGGGGTATCCTCTTCCAGGTCATCTTCCACCTACCTTCAAGATGTTTTCTCTCTCTCTCTCTTTCTCTCTTCCTTTTTGCTGGTACTAGGGATGAACCCAGGGCTGTCACACTGAGCTATATCTGCAGCCCCTTAATTTTTCTTTTTTATTTTAAGAGAGGGTCTCATTAAGTCATTAGGCTGTCCAGGCTGGGATCCAGTTGATGATCCACAATTGTTTAATTGAAAAATTTTTATTAATGTGTTTGTAGTACAGAATGATTATATTCACAGTCAGGTGTTAGTACACATACATAACACATCTTCATTCATTTTACTTCCCTTCTCCATCCCGCCTTCTGCCTTCTGAGCTTGTGATCCTTTTGTCTCAGGCTCCCAGAGGACTGGGATTAGAGCATGTGGCATTATGCCCAGCTAAGATTTTGTTACTTTCATCTTACAGATATTAGTTGACTGTTTCAAATGTTAGGTGTTGGGATACAATCTTAAATAAGATCAACAGTTTCTGTCCTTATGGAATTTATACTGGCAAAGAATCATCCCTTTTGGGTGTCTATCTCACTTCACACACTTTTTTGTTGTTGTTTTTAAGGTACTAGGGAACTAAGCCCAGGGACTTCACAGTGAGCTGCCCTTTTAAAATTCTTTTGTATTCAGGAAAGGTCTCACTGAATCATTAGGTTGTCCAGGCTGGGCTCCAACTTGTAATCCTCCTGCCTTAGCCTCCAGGAGTGCCATGATTACAGGTGTGCATCACCATGCATGGTCATATTTGCACCTTTATTATAAACTCTATTACATTGCATTGTAATTTTGGTTTGCATGTTTCTACCCTGCTGGGCTATGACCTTTGTAAGGTTAAGATAAATTTTTATTTAACTTCGTTTCTTTAGTATCTAGAATATGACAGGCATTAAGTAATGTTTCATTTAATAAATGAATGGAAGAAATCATTCTACTTTTAAGTGTTAACCAGAAAGCGTTCTTTCTTTTAGTTATGGAATATGCTTTTATACAATTGAATGCTGTCAAAATTTTTTATTGAGGAAAGTTTTAGTTTTTCAAAGCATACATCTTAATATGATTAAAGGATGGGCCCCCCAATTTTTTTTTTGGTACCGGGGATTGAACTCGGGTCCTTGCGCTTGCGAGGCAGGCAGGGAACCACTGAGCTAAATCCCCGGCCCCCAAAACTTTTTGAGTAGAAAAAAACCCTTTCTGAGTAGAAGGATGTAATAAGTAGAGTAAGAATTACTATCTTTTCCAGGAGTTGGCCTTGCTGCTTCTGCTAAAACTCCGTTGGGTGACATGAAAATTCTTTATTCAAGGCACTTTCAAAGCTGTGTCAGTGATGGAAATGACATTTGCACTGTATTATACATGTTACACTTGGCCTCTAGCCAATTCTGTTTTTTATTACCAGTTCAATCAGTTCACCTTGAATACCATAACACTGTTTTTGATACTAGCTTATAGTTTTATGCTTTATGTTGTGCAGCATTGTTTTTTAGATTCTGTCTTCTTTACCAAAAGAGACCTCTAAAGTCTCATTCTGCACAGTATTGGGCAGATAGTACAAGGGCACATCTTTTAAATTGACACAGAATGTTGGACGGCATTAATGCTGTATCATGGAACATGGTAATATGCTCAGTAAAGAAATGTACCTCATGGGAAGCTTTTGTTAAAAATGTATATTCCGAATCAGTACACCTGGGTGGAGCCCGATAATTTGCATTTGCAACAAGCAATAAGGAGATCCTAATGTCGCTAGTTCGTGGACCCACTTAGAGTAGCAAAAGGAAAGCAGATGCTTTGCTCCAAAACATATTTTGCGGAGTGTTAATTAAATTACAAGTGTGATTCGGCAGGAGTCAGGCGGAGCACTTCTTCCCCAGCCCCAAACCTCCCCCTTTTCTGCTTCATCTCTCCTCCCAGCCCAGCCAAAGTCCTCACCTCCTTAAGCAATATAAGAGCACAAGCAGCAAAAAGCCCAGCTGCAGAAGACGCAAACCCACGTAACAAAAAAGGAATGGTCCCTGCACTTACTAGTTTTAAGAGCCTGGGGATTAGATGGGGTCCGGGCAGCGGGCTCGTCGCGGCTTTAAGAAAAATTCAAAATTAAATCCTTGTCCTGGAGGGCCCAATCGTAGGAATGCTCTCCCCACGATTCGCTCTCTTGGTAGCACAGGAGCCCATCCTGGCTTATGATTGGTGGAGAGCGCACCACGCTCTGACCAATCAGAGCCGAGGCGCTTCTGCAATGAATAAGAGGAAGGCGGGAGAAAAGGGGAGGGGAAGCCAGAGAAGAAAGAAGGTGTGTCACGTCTCCTATGTTGGCGGTGGAAGCTTTCGTGTAATTGGTTGCTTCTTCTTCTGATTGCTCCAATAGCAAGCTCTTCTCTGCGGAGCTTGAATGTAGAGAATAGAGGACAGCCAATAGGAAAAAAAATATGTACATCAGCCAATCGCCCTGCGGCGTTTTGTGTCTTTGTCCAACAGAAAATTGTGTTTCATGCGGAGGGGCGTTACCCAGTCGCCAATGGGCGGGCGTTGGTGAAATAGAAGAGCCAATGAGTGCAAGATGTTGAATGACAGCTGTCCAATAGAGATCCTCAGTGCTAGTAAGGTTTGCAGCTTAAGCGCCGCCGCGGTTTGAGGAATGTCAACTATTCAACATGGAGGCGGAGGTCGATAAGCTGGAACTGATGGTGAGTACAAAGTGAAGGAGACCTACTGGGTAATTAATTTTCCTCCCATGGCCTCGAAACTAGGACGCAGTTTGGAGTCACCGGAAACTCGGGGGGACGGAGGCTGGACCGGAATCGAACTCCCTCCTCCTGCACCAAAGGGAGCCACCACCACCACTACCACTACCACCACCACCGCTACCACCACCGCCTCGGTCTCTTAACCGTCGCGGGGGAAGGGGTTACATCCGGGAAACTCGTGGGGAAATGGCGGGAGATGCCGAGGGCGTGGGGCCTTTGGAATTTCTTTCCTTCACCCTTCCTCCGCTCAAATCGCTACGCCTGGTGCAGACAGCACTTTACGTATTTCCACCAAAGGAGGGAACCTACTTTGCGCCCCAAGGAGGAAAGAGGTCTTTCGTACTCTTAGAGGCGTGCAGGGTGCGGTGGAGGAATAAACCGAGGGGCACGGTGGGCAGTCCCTTAGGGCTGAGTCGTTCGCGTGCTCAGAGGCGGGCTGAGAAAGTGTGAGGAAGGATGCTAGACTTACGGGTGGAACTTCTTAGCGTCCCAGGAAGCCTCCAGACCTGTTTGTTTAGCCCGGAGGTGGCGAGCCTTGGTGCGGGGAGAGGAAGCAGTGGTGGGGATCGCAACCCCGAGCGCGGGCGGGATGGGGACCGGCGAGCCCCTTGCTCCCCAGTCTCCCTCTTCCTTTCCTCGGTGAACGAGGGTATGGGAGGAGCTGGAAGGGCTCCCCTGGTTGCTGCTGTTTGGCCTGCTCTAGGGCGCCAAGCTGAGGCGCTGTCCTTCTAGTTTTCAGGATTTTCCCTTTTCCTTCTCTCTCATCCCTAGATTACCAGCTCGATAGCCCGCGCTTTTTTCTTAGTTCTCTTGTTTTATCTTTAGTCTTTTTCTCTTACATTATTAGTTTTTGCAGTTTGAGCTGGCTCCCTTAGAAATAGGGGGGTTGGAGAAAGTACTCTTCATTAAGGTCCTGTCGTTTATTTCTTTGTTAGAGAAAATCACAAGATTAAATTTTGCGAAGGAGAAAACTTCTTTCTTCTCCATTCGCAATCTTTGGCTCTTCCACCTCCCCTCCCCGGCGTTACTACTTAGGTATCGATTGTGCCTGCAATGCTCTCTCCAACTTGAGTCTCTCTTTTCTCCCGTGGAAAGGACGTGTGGGGAACCTGGAAGATGCTGAGTACCACCCTAACCCCCACCCTAACCCCCATTCCCAGCCCTGAACGTCTTGAGACGTTCATTTATCTCATTTCCCCTTGATGTGTTAATGAACTGAGGTGATTCTTATATACAAATTGATTTGAAGGCTTTCAATTATTTTTATTTGTTTTTCATTGCTTTTTAACTTTTGTGTTTGAATTCGGGTGTGTGTGTGTGTGTGTGTGTGTGTATAGGGAGTGTGGGAATGACGACAGGGTGGCAGGGTGGAGGGAGCAATGAGAGGGAAGAGTTACACAGCTTTTCAAGCTTGCAATAATGAATATTTCAAGGGGAGGTTTTTTGACGATTTTTTTAAAGGGAAAAATATTTAAGATCTGAAAAATATGGTTAACAAACAGATATTTTAGGTTATTGTGTTTTTGAAATACACAAAATGGTAAGTATTTTAGTTTGATTCTATCAACAGGTAAAAATGTTGTATGTTGTCCCTCTCCTATTTTGAATTCCTCCCTTCAGATACAGATATTTCTGTTTAATTGCTAATGGCAAATGATGCTAATTCTACTTTTAATATATTTTTTTCTTGAGTTGGCTGTTTTAATTTTCAGGCTCTTTCTAGCCTTTGCAACAGGTTTAATATTTTAAGACTACTTTAGATTGCACTAATTTTTTTTTTTTTTTTTGGTACTGGGGATCGAACCCCTGGTCCTTGTGCTTGTGCAGCAGGCATCAAAACCACTGAGCTAAATCTCTTGCCCCACTAATTCTAAGGGAAAAACAAGTAATCATTTTGAAAAGAGTAGGTTTTAGAAACTTATGGGATAGCCAAACTTTTAAACATTTAGATGTTATTTAAATTGGGGAAGTTTAAAATATTTTTTTGAAGAAAGGAAGAAAATGAAGCAGGTTTTTTTCTTAAATTTCTTTCAAGTACATTAGTGGTAGTTCCCCCCCCCCCCAAGTTACTGTTCATAATTTGGCTTTAAAACTGTATACTTTAGGAAATGTACTTTAATTTTTATCATGGTTTTTAGTATTACTGCATTGTATTGACTAGATAGTAAAAGAGTACATTTCATCTGCAAATTTTCCATGTTCATTAAAAAAAATTTTTAAAAAATATGTGAACCAGTATAGTTTCTAAGATTCCAAAAGTAAATGATTTCCTGTGGAAATTTCTGTGTTTTGGTTTTATATTACTTGAATAAAGGATTTGTCAAGGAACTAGTATTGAATATTTGGTAGGTGAAAAGAGAATGCATACTATTTAACTTTGAAAAAGAAACTGGTTATCCTAATTTTGTGAACAGCCTTATCCTCTTACTTTTTTCATAATTTTCTTATTTGTATTAGCTTCCAATTCAGAAGGCTAAATATTGACCTTTACTTGTCTTTAAAACCTGATACTTGGTTAACAAAGTTAAATATTCTAATATTTGAGTTATAGGGCCCAAGATTTGAGGCCAAGATTCTCAAGTTCCAGCTGTCCTGAATTTGAGTCCATTTCTTTGTAGGCTTAATGCAGCTAAGTAACTGAACTGGACCATTTAAAAGAAGGTTGGTGAAAATAATGGAAATGTATTTCTGCATCAATCAACATTACTGATAGAGGAATAACCTCATTGTAGAATAATCTTTGTTCTCTAACTTTGTCCCTTTACTTACTGATTGAGTGGCATTTGTCTAGGGTTCTCTTTTTGTCCACTATTGATCACAAAAGGTATCACAGTGTGATACTGTGACATTATTTCTAGGTTTACATCTGACTTTTAAAGAAACTTGGTTTTTTATTATTATTTTTTAGGAAACTTGTTATTTAAGTCTCAGCCACCCCTATTATTATTTTCCTCTTGATATTTCTACATTTGAAGGAAATCAACATGTTTCCTTTGAATTTAAGATAACGTAAGAGTTAATTGAAATAGTAAAAATCTCTTCTATAGTGTTCAATAAAGTTGGGTTGATGATGTTCAGTTTAGCACCGGTTGATTCCCTGGGTGTCTACTTCTTTGTCATAATAGCCTCCAGTGAACTTTTGAGATAAAAACGCTGTAAGATGGTAATGCTTTTTGTGTTTTTTAAAGTGTAGTGTAGAATCCAGAGTAATTGATTATGTATACATTTGAAAAATTTATTTCACTTTTCATTTTTCTTCAATATACTTATTCAGAAGGCTTGTTTATATGGCAGGTAATCAATTGCTTTGGAAAAGGAGCTAACCAATAAACCATCTCAACAGAAAATAGAAACATTTAACACAACTTTGACTTAGTAGTAATTATAACTGGTTTTGTTAATACCAATCCTAAGGTATTAATACCTATCTTAATTACTACTAAGGTTTAGAACATATTTACAAAGTTCCCCTATATCTCTGGCTGTTTGTTTGAATGTCAATTATAGGTTAGTCATCAAAAAAAAATTATCACTTTGATATTTAAGTCTCATCTTTTTTTTAATATAAGCATTGACATAAATGTTTTTAGGTTTTTGGATGCCTTCTGACCAAAATGGCAACTTAACATTAAATTCTTTTCACACTGGAGCTTCAAGTGACACCAGATACTTTTGTGTTCCTTTTCTACTTATTACTGCTAACGAATGCTCTGACTTTATTGCACTACTGTACTTTACAGCTAGCAGTGCAATAGTATTGTCAAAGCATCTGAAAGCAGAGTGCACGTCAGAATTTTTTATTTTTGCTTTACATCTTCAGTATTTATGAGTATTTTAACCACAACCTTTGTTACTGAAAACTGTATAATTTTATTACAATGTATCTTTTAGAAAGTCATAATTGAAAAACATTTTTTAACCTAACATTAGAGACACTACTGTATTGCGTTATGAAACACACTGAGAAAATACTTTTTATATTTGAAGTTAAAATGGCTTCTGTAAATGAGCAGCACTTTGTAATTTGGTTCTTTTAAAAGAATGTTTTTGATAATTTGCTTTTTTCTGTAACACATTTGGATAATTTCTGGCAAATCTTAGGTTTTCTTTAACTGAGTTTTATGATGAATTAGTAATTGATGAAGACAATCTCTGCTATATATGCCCTATGGTGACTTGCTTCATCTTAATTAGGGTTAATTTTGGTATTATGTAGGAAGTGCTTGAATTTAAAACTTAAACATGCTTGAGTTAAAATTCATTTTGTAGTATTGTGTTAAAAACTGAGTTCATCATTTTTTTGGTAATCAATTTTATTGAGATATAACTTAAATACAGTAAAACTCACCAATTAAAGGTGTATAATTTGATGGGCTTTGGTAAATGTATATAGTCATGTAATCACCACCATAGACAAGATATAAAACATTTCTATCACTTTAAGTTTTTGTAGCTGGGCATGGTGGCTCATGCCTATGATCCCAGGACTCTGGAAGGCTGAGGCAGGAGGGTCAAAACTTCAAACCCAGCCTGGGCAACTCAGTAACAGTGAGACCTGACTCAAAATTTAAAAAAGGGCCTGAGTTCAATTCCTAGTGAGGGGTGGGGGCTGTGGCTTATGCCTGTAATCCTAGCTCTGAGGGAGGCTGAGGCAGGAGGATTATAAATTTGAGTCCCACCAGGGCAATCTAGCAGGAGGACCCAGTCTCAAAATAATAAAAAGAGGGCCGGGGATATGGCTCAGTGGTAGAGTGCCTCTGGGTTTAATCTCTAGTGCCACAAATAAATAAATAGAAAATAAAAGAAAGAACTTAAGTTTTTTTGTCTCTCTTTGCAGTCATCCTCTTTTCCCCAAATTTGTTTTGTTTGTTTGTTTGTTTTCGGGGGTTTTTTGTACTGGGAATCGAACTCATGGCCTTGAACTTGGCCCATAGGCACTGTGCCGCTCGCTGAGCTACACTCCTGGCCCTTTTCCCCCAAATTTCTTGGCATCCACTGGTCTAGAATTTCATATAAATCGAATAGTGGTATGCAGCCTTTTGTATGTAGCTTCTTGCACTTATGAGAATACTTGTTATTCATTCATATATTAGTATATTAGTATATATTATACTATAGTATACTATATTAATATATAGTATATTAGTAGTTGGATTTTTTTTTGAGACAGGGCCTCACTATGCACTTCAGACTGGCCCTGAACTCACCATGTAACCCCCACTGGCCTCAAATTCGTGGCAATCTTCCTGTGTCAGCCTCCTGAGTGCTAGGATTACAAGTGTGCAACACCATGTCCAGCATTAGTTGGACAATTTTTATTGCTAAACAGGATTCTTCTGTGTAGAATGTGACAAATTGTCCATTCACTAAATTATGGACTTCTGGTCATTTTGAGGGTTTGCCATTTATGAATAAAGTTGTTGTGAGCACTGGATTGTAAGTCTTTTATTTCTTTTGTTGTCAATGGATTTCTGGGTAATATGATAAATGTATGCTTGCTCTTATAAGAAACTGCTAACGTCTTTTCCAAAGCTTCTAAATGGCTAAAAATATTGAACATCTTTTCATGTGTTTATTTGCAATTGGTACATCTTCTTTAGTGAAGTGACTGAAAACAAATTTTTTGGGTCTATTTTCAAATAACTTGTCGTCTTTTTCGTTTTTTTGCTTTTTTTTTTGGTACCGGGGATCGAACTTGGGACCTTGCACTTTCGAGGCAGGCACTGGAACCACTGAGCTAAATCCCAGGCCCATGACTTGTCTTTTTACTATTACATCATGAGAATCATTTAGTTTTCTGTCAGTTTGTTATTTGCTTTCCCATACAACACCCCCACCCCCACCCTCACCCCCGCACTGGAGATTGAACCCAGGAAGTGCTGAGCTACAACTCCTGACCTTTTTTTGTTTTTTTGAGATGGTGTGTTGCTATATAGTTCAGGTGGTCTTGAACTCACTATGTAGCCCAGGCTGGCCTTGAACTCATGGCAACGGGATTACAGGTGTTTGCCACCATGCCTGGCTGTCATTTAAATTTTTGATGAAGTCCAGTTTATACATTTTATTTTGTGGTGTATGCTTTTTATGTTCTAAAAAATATTTTTCAATCCAAGGTCACAGATATTTTCTTCTAGAAGATATATAGTTTTTAGCTTTTACATTTAGATCTTTGTGCAAGTTAATTTTTACATACAATATAAAGTACATATGGAGAATCCATTTCCCTGCCTCCTTTCTTTCCTTCTTTTTGTTTTTTCTCCTCTTCTTCCTTTCCTTTCTTTCAATATTATATCTTTACGGTAAGTTTTGAAATCATCTAGTGTAAGGCCTCAATCTTTGCTCTCTCTCTCTTTTTTTTTTTTTGCTGTTAGGGGTTTTTTTGGTACCTGGGATTGAACTTGGGACCTTGTGCTTGCGAGGCAGACAGCGGAACCACTGAGCTAAATCCGCTGCTGTTGTTAGTTTTTTTGAGACAGGGTCTCACTGTGTAGATCAGGCTGGGTTTGAACTCACTGTGTAGCCCAGGCTGGCCTCGAACTTGCAGTGATCCTCCTGCTTCAGGCAGAAGATAGTACGTGTGAAAATGCAGCGATGAGAGATTGTATAACTAGGAAAAATTCCAAGTGTCCCTGTGGAGTGTTGAGAGGGAGAGGCAGGAAGAACCAGTAAGATCAGTATTCTAGCTATTAAGTTAGAAACCTCTCCATACTGTTTGGCTTTATTATATTCCTAAACATTTTTCTAATTTTTAAGTTGTTAAAATACACGTAAATTTTACCATCTTGACCTTTTAAAAGTGTATATTTCAGTGATATTAAACCCCCGTTTATACATCCCCAGCCTTTTTTATTTATTCTTTTGAGATAGCGTCTTGCCAAATTGCTTAGGTGGGACCCCTGCCTCAGCCTCCTAAAGTGCTAGAATTACAGGCCTATGCCACCACCTCTGGCTAAGAAGTTTTCATTTGGATATTCTTGCAACAACACTATCTATCACCCTTACATGTATCAGAGTAACCTACTCTGATTCCCCCAAGAAAAAAAATGTTCTAGTAAATTAAATAATTTGTCCCAATTTTTTACTCTTCTCTATGTATATGCTTGCATAACTTTTTCTCCCCCAGTACTAGGAATTGACCCCAGAGCCTTTGCATTGTGCTGTATCCCCAGTTCTTTCTTCTTTTTTTTTAAAATCTCTAGACAGGGTCTAAGTTACTAAATTGACCCCCTTGGGCTCAAACTTGTGATCCTCCTGCTTCAGCTTCCCGGAGGGCTGGGATCACAGGCATATGCTACCACACCTGGTTTGCTTACTTCTTGATAGGAAGAGTACATTTTTCCTTCTCTTGATATGCTTTGGTCAAGGGGACATGGATAGAACTGACAGTGTTCCAGCAGTGAAGTTAGGTCTTTAAAGACTATTTTTGTTTATTTTGTGTTTCTGCTATCTCCATGAGGATATCTCAGGGGTAGTCTAAGGGTTCAAGGAAGATGAGAGACACCTGAAACAAAGAATCCCTCAAATTAAGTTTGCTAGACTTGGTATAAACCTAAAAATACAGGATTCAAGCCAGGCGTGGTGGTGTACCCCTGTAATCCCAGCAGCCCTGAGGCTAAGGCAGGAGTATCACTGGAAGTTCAAGGTCAGACTGAACTGCATAG